TGGATGAATAAGCAATGGCAGTAAGTTCAATATCCAACTGCAGTGAAGAGGCTTTCACATATAAAGTAGAAATAGATTTCCAAATATTGTTAAGGTGGGCTAGCACAAACCTACACCCCCCCCTTCTTCCCCAAATAAAATAGTTGAGGAGAGCTCTCCTTTTGGAAAGTTTGGAGAGAAGTTGAAATGGGAGGCAGGTAACAAAAGAATCTAGGACAGACATGTCAAACACAAGGCCCTGGGGCCGGATGCAGCCCGTGAAGTGGTTTCATGTGGCCCGTGAAGCCATCCTGGAAACAGTGAGGGAATGGTCCCCTCTGCCTTGGCCCTGGCCCAGGCCAGTCGGGAGCCAATGTACAATTTTGTGGTGGCCATCTATGCTGAAACGCATTCAGTCTTAACTCCATAAGCCCCCCCCCCACATGGCCTGAGAGGAACAGTGAGGCTCCTCCAGTGGACCATGCCTTGTTGGGGGTCACCACAACATGAGGAACTGTATTAAAGGGTCGCGGCATTAGGAAGGTTGAGAACCACTGTTGTAGAAGGTTGTTCAACAGGGGATGTATAATATACATAATGTCACTTTTTTGTCCATCTATTTTTAGTGTATACAATAATAAATTTGTGTTGGGCATCAAAACAGTATGTATTATTTTAGTGAATGAACAACAGGTTTTTGAAGCATAAATCTAATACATCCCACAAATATTGGAAATTAATTGATGCATTTTGGATTCCACTGAGTCTAACATGTGCCAATGTGCAAAAAGACACAGTCGCAGTTAGATCAAACACCCAATTTTTATATGATTCCAGAATCCAGTGTTTTTCATCCATTTTTGTATGGTTGTAGATGCCAGTCCAAGAACTTGTGTTTCCCATCATTTCTTTTTCATTAGGAATAGCCTAATGATTTTTTTCCTGATCTGCAAAGTTTATTAATGAAATTTTGTGCAGTTTTGAACTAAGCAATTTTGTTTCATGGTGATAATTATTTTTCCATCTAGTGTGTTGAGTCACTTATGTTCCCCTGTTGCTTAAATTAAAAGTAAAGGAAGAAATAAATGGCTCAAGCTGTTTGTTTTGGACAACAGGAATCAATTTTAATTAGAATCTGCTTATTTTGTGCTCTTAACTCAGTCTGTTCATATGTGAGAGCCTGGACTGTCCCATCTCAGATTGCAAGAAGGTTGTATTTTCTGCCTGCTGTACAATATTACAACTTTGAAACCCAGTTAAGATTATTGAACAGTATTATTATTATCATTAAATTCAAGTAGGATGAATAGTGACATTTATTTACACTCTGTTCAGTTACTATTAGGGTTGTCAGAAAGAAAAGATTAATAGATAGTTTATGAAATCAGGTTTGTCATCCTTATTTATAATATAAAGCAATAGGCTTGTTTATTTTTATTTATTAAATTTTTATACTATCCAACTCCCAATGACAGTTTGTAATACATCATTCTAATTGTAATTGATTTTTGGATATATATATTATGTCTTATTTAGTTTTATTATGAAGTTCTAATTCTGTTAAACCACTCTAAACTTAGAGGAGTTATGTTGGATATGAATTTTTATTGTAGATTTCTGGAAATACAATCCTATTAATTTTGCTGTTAATAACAACAGCAGTATATTTTCCATGATCCATGCCTATTCAATTAATAGTGTGTGAAAGAAAGACTGTTAATATTTTGGGTACAAATGAATGCATACATTTTACATCAAAGATACTTAAGGATAATATGATAGCATTGATGCTTTACCCCCTGTGACCCGCAATTGCAAATATGTTTTAAAAATAAAGGTATGATATAACCAATATGGCATAACCATGTTTAACTATGTTTAACTATAAAAAATCTCCTGATGCCTAGTTTTGAGTAATCTCCTTACTAGAAGCTATTGATATATTTAATTATTAGATTTATGAGTCTTAATTTCCGAAATAAGACAAATGTATGACTTAATATTGTTTTCATGTTAGTTTTTATACATGGCCATTGCACTGATATCAGGTTTCAGTCTTATGATATTAATCACATGAAAAAGCTGAAAAGCTCTGATTTGTATCTGTTTGAAGTAAAGCAGACTACCAAAATGAACAAAAGAGGATTCCTGTTGCTATTGACTAATGAGTCAAGCATGCTTTTCATTAAATTTACCCTACATTCCCTATGTATTTTCTACCTTCACATGACCACAAGAGCTAATGGGACCTGTAGCTTTGTGTGAGAAAACAACTTCAGAGCAATCCAAGTCTGTTGATATATCTGAGACAACATTTGTATTCTCTCCAAACTTTCATCTACCCATATTTAATTCAAAATAAAATGTTAAGATGCTTGCATGTCTAAAGCAATTATCCCAAAATCCAAGATTTATATGATAAGTAGTTGAAATTACAGTACATGTTTTATGATTTGCAATATATAGTTGTAGATCTTTTGTTTTAGATTAGAAGAATGTTTTGTCATACCATTAAATTATATCCTTTTTTATTCTAATAGACTGGAATAATTGGACTAGAATTTCCATTGTTTCCAGTCAACTTAGTGATTAACTAGGAATCTGGGGAGTGTTTCTGACATATCTGTAAGGACATTTACAGGGAAATCTTAATGTGTGTAATTACAAAAATCAGTTTGATTATGAGTAGTCAAGGATATGCACTAGACTAGAGAATTTATCTTAAGTATCTTAATCATAGGAAATGTTCATTTAAAAAACCCAACAATAGTAAGGCTAATCTTTACACAATCTAATCTTCATACCTTTCAATTCTATAAATAATTTTAAAGACAATTTAATTTTATTTTCTTAATCTAGGGGCAGGGGGAGTTAGTTTTGGTCATGCTGTTTGGAGATGATAGGAGTTGTACAGTACAGAGCAGGGGTAGACAATCATGCTGGCTCAGGAATTTTGGAAGTTGAAGTCCACAGGTCATAAAGAACCATAGCTGCCCACCCCTGTATAGTTGCTCACTCCGGCATGTTACTTAAATCAGTATCTTGGGATTATGTTCCTACATTTTCTGCTGCTGAACCAAACTTATAGTCTTTCTTGTAATGATGTGGAAATGACCACAGGAGATAGAAGGAGAGCTTCAAACCAGCATGTAAAAATTGTCTCAGCCCACCGAAGGGGAACGGGACATGGAAAATGTTTTGGAAGGGACATTTCTTATTTTTCTGGAGAATAAAAGGAAGGGGAGGAGAAATATTTTCAGTCTTGCAGGATTCTGTTAGTGTGGCCTTACAATAAAGATAGAGCTAGCATTCCTAGTTGTGCTTCTTGTCTGACTATCTCACAGGTCTAACATTTCCACCTATTCAAAAAGAGACCAAACAAAAGTAGAACTGAAAGTGCTTCTCACGTGCATTTGTTATCATTCTCTACCTTTGCTCAGGTTTTTTTTTTTGGGGGGGGGGATATTGGAAAAATTGAATTGTGGCTATGGGGGCAGGATGCAGATAAATATCATTTGGGAAAACTTCTTGGGCAATCTAATACAGGAAGAACAGATTAAGCATCTCCCTGCTGATTCTGGTTGCATTTGCTTTTCATTTGCTCTCTTGTATTAATGGCTTTCTTCTAGTGGAGCTAATCCATATGCTCAGAATTTGTATTTTTTTGCAATGAGATACTTATTTCAATTTTATGAGCTCATTCTCACTAATTCTATTAGTATACTTTTCATAGTGCATTTGATCTACACAGTTTGGTTATATATGACTAAACAAGAGTGTTGAAATGACTTCATGAGGTATGCAGATTTCCTCCAAAGCACAATTAGTTGCAGATGGTAAATGTATTAATAGGATAGGATAGGATAGGATAGGATAGGATAGGATAGGATAGGATAGGATAGGATAGGATAGAGCTGGAAGGGACCTTGGAGGTCTTCTAGTCCAGCTCCCTACTCGAGCAGGAGAACCTATACCATTTCAGACAAGTGACTGTCCAAAACCTCCATTGATGGAGCGCCCATGATTTCTGAAGGCAAGCTGTTCTCCTGGTTAATTGTTAAGAAGTTTCTCCTTAATTCCAGGTTGCTTCTCTCTTTGGTCAGTTTCCAACCATTTTTTCTTGTCTTGATTTCTGGTGCTTTGGAGAATAGTTTGATTCCTTCTTCTTTGTGGCAGCCCCTCAAATACTGGAATACTGCCATCATGTCACCCCTGTTTCTTCTTTTCTTTAGACTAGCCAAACCCAAGTCCCGCAGCTATTCTTTATATGTTTTATTTGCTCTTCTCTGAACCTTTTCCAAAGTCTCAGCATCTTTTTTGTAGTATGGTGACCAAAATTGGTTGCAGTATTCCAGGTGTGGTCTTACTAGGGTTTTATAAAGTGGTACTAATATTTCACATGATGTTTATTCTAATTGAATGAAATAGTGTTACACAGTCACAACTGAACAGTACAAAGAATAATACTTTTTTAATATAATTAAAATATCAGACTGCTTGTAAACTTTAGTTAATGGCCTCTATTAAGACATGCAGTGGCAGGCTTTGTGATCCACCACTGCTTAGAGCTTCTAAATAAATAATGTTGGTTTTTTTACCTACTCATTTATTGGATTACATTGGCACTCCACCTTCTTCTAAGGAACTTCAGCAAGCATTAAATATTGTATGACTAAATTATCATTGCCTGTGATATCTACACTCATGTTTTTGTTTGGAGCTTTTATACTGATTGAGTAATTTAAGAAAACCTGAAGGGTTTTTTTTCCCCATTTCAGAGAAGATTTCTTCTAAGCCACCCACAAAAATGCTAGATATTCAGCCTTGTATCTTCTACTTGCAAAACATGTATTCTGCTTCTGAAACAGGGTATGAAAACTTTGGCAATCTGGAAACAGAACATTCTGAGGAATGGATAAAAATATGTCTTCTTTCTCCCTGCTCTTAACTGTTCTTTTCAGTTATGTTATTATCCATTATATATGTGTATTGATCAGTTGTGTTTTGACATTTTAATTCAGGATTGTGGTTCAGTCATTCATCCTGAGGAATCCTGTGGTTTGCAGCCTCTCTCTGCTGAATACCTGTCAACTGTTTCACAACCACAGTTGAAGACATGTGAAATGGGGGATGTAAAAGGCATGTTCTTAATATATTTTCTGCATGTTAAAAAATATTCTTACAAGAATGTAGATTCCTTGCTTCCTGCCACTTAAAAATTAAAAAAAAGCTCAAGCTTTTGTCAAAAAAACAACAGAGCTTAACTAATTTGTTAAAGCATCTTCTGCTATAAATTATGATTAATAATGGTTAAAATAATGCATTTGCCTTAGAAAAAAAGAATTTTAGCTCAGTGGCAGAGCACAAGCTATGCATTTTGGAAATAATGGCATCCCTCTAATTCAGCACCAGTTTTAAAAAAAGAAGTAGCAAAACTGTTGAAAACTTTCAATTAAAACTCCAAAATGCTCTATGGTCATGGAGACAGAGTTAATGTTGTCACATGGCAAAGTGATGCATTGTGGTCAGAGTGCTGGACAAGGACTGTAGAAATTTAAATCTGAAAGTATAATTACATTTATACAGTGTCCTAGGGACTGTCATTGTATCCAATGATTTTTTAGTCCATTTTGGAGTTCCTTGGAGGAAGGGAAAGATGTAAATTTAAATTAGTAACATTTCTATGTCAAGCAAAGATTTGTTTTGTTGCCTTAAGTCTCTCATTTTTATTGCTTTTTAATGTTGGATCAAGAGAAAGTAAAAGTTCTTTTGGGTTCTAGGCATAAGTGTCTGCCCAATTTATTTCTGCTCAACAAATTCCAGGTAGAGATATAAGAATGGTTATCATCTACTTTCCAGGACAGTGGGTTGTTCCTTGCCTTAGTTGTTCTGATAATAGAACTTGTGATTGGAGGCAGATAACATGGCAGCCAAGAAATTGTCAGTACCCTGTTCTTAATAAACGAGAACTCCAAAAGTGTGTAGAAAGAAAAAAGGTAAGTCACAAGGTTGGTAGAGGAAAATCTGTAAGAAAAATACAATTTATCTCTTCATTTAAGCTATAGTGTTTTTAAAAAGCTGAATACAGCGTTATTGATATATTAATAGTTCTTGTAATTTTTATTGTAGTGCAAACAATACCCTAAGTTTGTTTCCACTAACAAAATGCTATATATTAGTGTTAGACATTAATTTGTTTTGCATGAATTCTGTTTTTTCTCTGGCGTGTAATGCATGGCTTTGCTTCTGCTGACCAAACTTATGAAGTCTTCCTTCATGTTCTTGTGCAGGCCTCAGGCGGACCTCACTTTTCTTATCTTGAAGATTGTAAGATGACTGCTTGGAAAAGCAGTGTCTCCTTAATAAGCATGGTTTGACTGTCTAACATTTGGCTGAGATGTGTGACACAGGTACAGCTGTCTGCTAATCTAAATATTCAGAGGTAAATGTTACATTGCAAATATTGCAGTGTATTATACAGTTAAGAAAAATACTTAAAAATAACCGCAATATAAGCTGCATGAATAATGAAAAACATTCAACTATATATGGTGCATGAACTTCTTTAATACACATGCATTTTATTTTTTGGACTATATAGTAGCTCCCAGAATTCGCAATATAATTTAGGAATTAAAATCTAAAACATCTGTTGGGTATCATGATATTTAATTTGCCTTATATTAGTGTATCTTACCCTCAGATGTATGGATTTCAGTTTTCTGAATTGACCAACTAGTATTCTGAAAGTTGAAGTCCACATATCTTAAAGTTGCTGAGGTTGGGAAAAGCAGTTTTTATATAATGTCACCATGAAAAATGTTCTGGAATAGATGAACCATAAAGTAATTGGCACCAATAAAGAAAAAAGGTCTTGTCTTTCCTGCTGATATTGTCAAACAGAATTACTGTCAAGGTTGACAGCAAATATCTATCATTCTTTTTATGTTTCTGCCTTATTTAGCACATAATTCTTCAATTTCAACTGTGGGCATTCATTTTTTTTCTTTACCATTGGAAAATTTAAATTCAGTTATACTATCTGAAACTTGGACTATCTAACGTTATGCCTGCCATAATTTCACCTTGCAAAATGATTGCTCTAAAAGTTCTACTCTATTTTTAAATAAGTCCTTATTTATGGCACGTTTGTCTGTTGATTCTTATTTAGCTTCCTTTAAAAGAAAAGATATTTTATTTTTTTAATAAACAAAATAAATTTACAAATAAGCATAAACACAAAAACAATCAGAAAAAAATAACAAAACTTTCCACGTAGAAAAAAGTCAGCTCAATTTTTAAACATATAATTAAGTCTTGACCACACAGAATAATATTGTTTTTTCTTTCCATTACATTGAGAGCCAGCCCATAAACAGACAGCAAACAAATATGAACAATCTACAATTATAAAACTGGAGTTGTGCTATCTTTGAAGAGTAATATTTTTTTGCTCCTTGCCATACTCAGTAAATCTATACTTTTTCATACAGTGATATATTTTATATATAATTGAGGAGTTTACTCCCATTACAAAGCAGAGTAAATGTGGAATCATGTAGGGCTGAAATTGAAGAAAATATTTTTGTAATATAATTATGAGCATGAAACCCAAAAGGGGAAATTATGGAACAACTCATAAGTCATAAGTTAATTTCCCCTTACCCATGTCACAGTTATGACTGAATAATGATAACAGCCTTTTAAAATATTTCTGGGGTCTCTATAATTATAAGTCTTATCTTATAATTATAACAAACATCAAATATTTCAATCTTGTACTTGTTGATTTGTTAATATGAATATTTTAACCTTTAATTAAGAGTCTTGCAATAATTAAAATCTGTCTTAGCAGTAGCCTTTATAGGTTTATAAAAACATACTATAGATTTAGAATCACCTCCCCTAAAATTGCAGAACTAATAAACTTGGGAGTGAAATTCGATGTTTTAATGGGATAGTATTGCTTTTTTTAATTGTAAACATTTTTTCTTTTCAATAACCTAAATGGTATAAACATAGATGTATCTTCAATTTAAAACCAGTAATTGCCCCAGAGAATAAATGTGAATAAGATCTAAAATTATGTTTTTGTTCCAACATTTTGCAGATGCGCTTTGCTGTATTTAATGCAGAGAATATAATATACCATCGCTAAAAATGGAACTAAGAGCCTGTCATGATATTAAAATGAAAGGTTGTCACAGGATGAATTGTTGGAGTTGGGAGGAATAACAAAACACAATGTTGTGATACAAACTTTGCATTTTTTTGTATTTGCAATTGTGACATCAGACACAAATATATAAGAGGCACAACTTGTGTCACATAATACACTTTGGGTCATTTTGGTTGACATCAAAAGTCAGACATTTTACAATTGTGTCAACTTAATTTTAACTTCTGTTCCATAAAGAAATTGAAGTAATGCCATTCTTAAAGTTACTTCTCAGAAATGTTCCCACAGAACTGCCCCCTCTATTAAGCTATCCAAGGAAATGCCTACTACTGGAGTAAATAATCTCTTAAAAATGTAACAGAATAAATCAATTCATTCTCAACCTGGTACTTTTTAAATGTATTAAACCACTACTTCCATTATCCACAGTCAGCATGATAGTTAGGGTGGAGTTGTAATCTGATACATCCAGAGAATATCAGGTTGAAGTAGGTTCTTTCTTCTGGAGCAGCAGATACCCTGACAAGGTGACACAGAAAGTTGGAATATAATGTTGACAAGAACAGGTGATGCTCAAATCCTATGCTTCCCCATGAAGCTTGTGATGTGGTCCTGGAGACACAGCTGCTCAAGAAATGCAGTTTCTATAAGGGTCAAAAAATATGTTGAGAATTGGATTGGTAGGGCAACTCAGCTTTATGTTTCATTAATGGCCATGGCTTGTCATTGGCTTCATTCTGACTTCCCTTTTCATTTCTGCAGCCAAGTTATTTCCATCAGTGCTAACTTAGGTCCACTGAGTGGGATGGAGAAGTAAACACATATTGACTGAGACAAGAAAAATGGATTATAAATCACTAAGCATTCTGTAACAGAGCCTAGGGAGATTAATGCTGTGTTAGTAAAGCTAATAGATCATATACAAAGAATGAAGGAATTGTATGTTTGAAAAGGATTTATTCATTTTATATATAATACAATATATTAAAAACATTTATTTGAACTTTGAGTACAGTGAGAAATATGAAGGGTATATTACATGATCTCTTACACTGTAGCATTTGGAAAATGAAATGTTTAAAAAGATATTTAAAAAATGAAAGCCAAACAAAAAAGTGGTTTGATTTCCTCTGTGTAATAAAAACTTTTATCAATTTTTTGTTAATTAATTTTGACTGTAAGAATTTGGCTGCCATGTAGTATTTTGATTGCCCAAAGGAACTTTTCAGAAAAAGAAGTTGAAATGGGGAATAGAATATTAACGAGGTATATGCTATATCATGTCATTGTATAAAAGATGATGAAACACATATTTATTAGTTTCACTCTTTAAAAGCCCTTTATAGTTTAATAGTGTAATCAAATGCACTCAGTAATGTATGATTGAGAATAAATCATATAAAAAAGCAAGTTCTGCTAAAGTGCTTAAAATCCACATATTAAAATAGGAACTTGCATTTTTTTTCAACGTGAAAATTCTGGGCTTAACAGTATTAAAATGTCTTTATTATAGCTGGTAAAGAAATGAATGTTATTCTAACTATATCCCAGTAGTGGCAAACCTATGGCACGCATGCCAGAGGCGGCACTCAGAGCCCTCTCCATATGGGCACGCGCACCATGCCCTGGAAATGGCAACTGTCCCTCTTCAACCAGCTGGCTGCTAACTCGCCGAGGTCCCACCTGGCTGGATGCATCCCAGCATAGCTGGTTTCCCTCCCCCCCTCCCATCCCTCCTGGCCTCACATGCTTTCCTTTTCCCAGGCACAACCCACTGCATCACCTCCTCAGCTGTCGGCCGGCCGTCCAGCTCAGAGGCAGCTTCTCTGAACTGCTGGGGGAAGGCTGCAGTGCCTCATAGTGTGCTGGTCGATGGGCCGGCAGGCTGTGGCTGCTGACGGACACTGTCAGCCCCAATGCGCTCGTTGGCCTCTGTGTGGGGGGGCGATGGTGTCAAGCAGCAGCCACCCCGGCCCCTGTCTCGCCTTGCCCTGCAACAATGGCATCCCCACCCTGCCTTGCCTTGCCTCACCTCACCCCTCAGGATGAGCCTCCTGCCCACTGCCCACCTGCCAGAGACCCCCTGGATCTCCCCTAACCCTGCCCGGACCCCACAGGCATCTCTCCCCACGAGCAACATTGAGGTGACCACACCCACCTTGGCCACACCCACCCAGTCTGCCATGACCACAGACACGCCCATCCAGTGGGCCACACCTATCTGGCACCCGGCAATACATAAGTGGGTTTTGGGTTGCAGTTTGGGCACTCGGCCTCTAAACGGTTCGCCATCATGGCTATATCCTTTATTTTCATGTACACTACTTTCACATGGTCTCACATAATTTGTGGTTTTTCCTGGTTTGGTCCTTGTATTTTTAAAAAGCCCACTTTCCTTTCATACACACTAGATGACACATATAAGTAATATTATTATTCTGCTTAATTTTGAAATTGGCCAAATTCAAAAAAGCTATCTTAGATGACAATGAGGTCTATATGATATATGTTAAGTTTTCATTGGGATCTTCAATATTTCACATGTGCAATATGCTACTTGTATGACTGAAGTTTTTATCTGTAAATGGAATCTAATGTATTAGCTCACAGAAATGATTTTAAAGCATTCTCAGATTTTTAAAAAGTTCTGGGCAAAATGGTTGATATTGTTATTTTGACTTTGCCACTTATCCTTCAAGAAATAGCATTGGAGTCTTTTTTTTTCTTTTTTAACCCCCATTTCACTCCTGTTTCAGATCAATATCCTTATGTATTTGGGTCATTCTAAAAGGGATTCAAAGAACCAAAAATGAGTTGATGGCAGCCTACCTTCAGCTATTAGGATATAATTTAAAATTTAGCATAAATAGAATTATCTTATTCCCAATGACTGACTTTTTCTGAAGAATTATTCATACCCACCCAGGCTAGATGCTGGAAACTAAAAGAAAGCTGAGAGATAAGTCAGGGGCTTATAACTGTTTGATATCTGACTGGAAGATATTTATGTTTGAAGTCATTGAATCCAAATATGCGTATCCATCCATTCATTTTCCTAAAGTACAGATCATCTCTGTTAAAATTAATACTAGTAAATACATATCTGAAAAACAATCTTTCATATTGAAATTACAAGTAGCTCTTGCTTAGCAACCATTGGGACCCATTGGGACCTGCCACACAGTTGCTAATGCTGCATCTGCTTGGTGGAAAATCACATGACCACAATGGGCTTACAACCTCACTTCCCCCTCAGTTGTTAAGTGCCATAGCCCATAAGCAAAACATCACATGACCATGAGTTATAATTTTACTTCCATCTTATCTATTAATTCTGCTTGTTGCAAGACAGTTGTGAAGTACACAAATAGCAATCATGTGACTGTGAGATTTTGCAACAGTCGTAAATCAGTTGTGAAGTGCCTGAATGGTGATTGCATAACCACAGGATGCTGTGACAGTCATATGTGCAAGGATTGGCCTCAAAGCTAATTTTTTACACTGTCAGAATTTCAAATGGTTGCTAAATGAAGCAATTAGTAAGTGAGGACTGTATGTACATTTAAGAGTCTCCATCATGCAGGTTGCTGTAATTTATTGCTAGTTCACCAAGCATTCCTTAAACCAAAACTGCAGACTTAAGCTCTATTGAGTTCCACTGATCTATCAACTTTTGTTATTAAATAGTTTTTGGCTTTTACCTTTAAAGGTTCTTTTCATTGGTGATTCCACTAACAGAGGAATGATGTATTACCTGATAGAGAGAGTGAATGATACCCTTCAAGAATGGCAAAAGGCACATGGCATGAAGTTTTATCACAATGTGAACAATGGGAGCACTTTTATTAGTTATTCATATTATCCCCAATTCTGGATCAGTGTCAGCCAAAGACCTACATTTGAAGAAGCTCTAGAGCAGCTGCTATTGAGGTATGATAGAACACTTGGCAACATTAGTTTCCTTTTCCTGGCATTCAGGTGTTTGGTTCTAGTGGTTTAGTTCCTGCATTTGGGCAATATTTACAGTGCATCAGTTTCTCCATTGCTTTTACCACTTCATCAGATTGAAAATTCTAGCAGTTACAATTTTGGAGAAACTATTACAATAGAAAAAGAATAACAGGTCTCCACTGATCTCATACTTAACTGTATAGAGCAGGTGTGAAGAATTTGTACCCCTCCAAGTATTCGTATACTAAGGTACCTAACAGACCTAGACCATGGTCACTGGAAAGGGAAACAGAACTCTAATATAGCAATAGGTTTCCCAACTCTGTTGTAAAGAACACTTTCCTTTCTCCTTTACATTTCAAAGCTGTTTATCAAAAGTATTTTTTATTGCTGGGAATATTAGTATGCAATAAAAGAGAAAATAGTTCAGAGGTTGGAATGCAATATCCCAAAATACCAATGGAATGTTAAATATCTTTGAACATTTTGTTGGAATGATTTCCTTGCATCAGGCATGTGCTGTCTTTGTATAAATAATAATTTATACAATGAAAAATAAAAACAAGTAATAAATGTTTGAGTTTAAAATATGCAGAACTATAGTCTGTAATAGAAAATGACATCAGTATGTGTGATTAAGAATGGTCTTGGCTAATGTATATTGCAATGTTGCTAAAATATAAATGCTGCCATCTGTTTAAATGGTAGAGCAAAGTAGATTTTATTATTATTGTTATTGTTGTTATTATTTCAGATCACAGCCATTAGAGAATACAGACCAGACAATACTAGTTATTGGTGGAGTCCAATGGCTTAATTTTAGTCACTTGCATATTATTCAAAAAGTACTAAAGCGGTAAGTCTTAATATTGTAGATGTTTTTTGTTTGTCATTATAATGATAAAAAATAAGTGATGTCATTTTGTTGAGCCTGAATATTGTATCAGTGACAATTTCTTAAAATACCGCACCTATGCAAATCCAGAAATAAAATATATCTATTTTTCTTATGTGTTCTGTAGAATGAATCTCTCAAATATAATGGTAGTGATAAAATCTCTAGGAATGGGCTTTCATCTACCAGTAGATCGAGTGCATACTTTGTCATCAGTAAGTTACATTTTATTCATAGCCTACTAAAATTAATTGTTCCTTTAACCCGTATTTTTTTTTGTTCAGCATCCTGATCCTAAGAATTGCACTGATTCTGTAATGTCACAGATGCCAATAATAATAAAAGCTGTTCAAGGTCAAGAAACAGGCACATGTGGGATTCCAAGAATGTTCTTTATCATTGTAGTATAGAATAACAGAATCTTGAAAGCCTGTCAGAATTGCTGTCTACTCTATCTTATACCAAGCAAAATCAAGGCAGAATTATTCTGAATTTTTTATGTTTTCCACTTTCTCAGGACTGAGTAAACTTTTTTTGTTCCTTAGTAATTCATTGCACCTTTTCCCCTTTCCAAAGTTTGATCATAAAATGATTCCTGTCTGCCTCCCAAGTAGACCAGACAGGAAACACAACAAAAGGAACTAATTGTAATTAATGTGTGAATCTGAATCCCGGGCATATCTATTCAATACTACACAATCTTTGAACTCCAGGATAAATATAAATCAGCTATTTATTGTTAAAAAATTTAAAACAATAAAAACAACTATTTACAATGTTAAAACAAACTTAGCTTTCGCTTGCAGCTCTACCCCGTCCTTTCATCCCATCTCTGTGCAAAATAGGGCCCAGAAGGATAGTGAGGGGAAGGCAAGAACAGTGGATGGATCAGCAGGGTAAGAAAGAGAGGAGGGGTAGCAGTGGAGGAGCACCAGCAGTGCCAACCTTGAGCGCCCAGCCCAGAATGATTGCGAGGAGACAACCGGTGGATGCAAGGATAGGATTAGCAGAGATGAGAGGGAGTGAATTCATGAGTGAGCTGTCAGGCAGCCCAGCTGATCGCACAGAGATGGGACGAAAGGACGGGGCAGAGCTGCAAGCATGCACACCCAGACATGAAGGGAAACGGGAGAGAAGAGGACTCATGATGATAAATAGTGGAGGACAAGAAGAACAGACAGACAAATGGAGTGGAGGAGAGGGGAACAGCAGTGTAAGGGCACTTGGGATACTGGACTCAGATCCACAGCCCAAAGTGAGTGTGGGGGAGTGGTTAGTAGACATGCCAACAGTAACAGTACCAGGAAGGAGAGGAAGGATAAGAAAGGGAGAGAGAGATGTTGTGGAACTGGAGTGCAAACAAGGGGAGGCGGGACATTTAAGGCAATTACGGTCCGTTAAGATGAATGGCCCTATCACGTGGTCAATGTGTAAAAAACTAGGTTAGCAAGGCTTATAAGAGACCTTTCTCCATCCCAATGCTTTACTCTGAAGACGCTGGCAGTGGACCAGTGAAAGCTAAGTTTGTTTTAACATTGTAAATAGTTGCTTTTATTGTTTTAAATTTTTTAACAATAAACAGCTGATTTATATTTATCTTGGAGTTTGAAGATTGTGTAGTATTGAATGAAAATATATATATATATATATATATATATATATATATATATATATATATATGTAGGTCTTTGGTTGTTTGGGTTTTCTCCCACGTAAAATTGGAAGTGTCTTGGCGACGTTTCGACGAAGTCCCATTCGTCATCTTCAGGCTGGTGTTTTCAGCTTCGTGCTTTGAGCAGCAATGTGTGGTCTTAGCTGTTTCTTCCTTTTAACTGCCAGTGGGGGTATGAACTGATTGGGTGGGAGCTTGGCTGTGTTCTGATTGGGTGGAGGTGTGTTCTGAATGGTTAGGGGCTTGGCTGTGCTCTGATTGGCTGGGGGAGTGTTCTGTTTGGTTGTGCTCAGGTTAGTCTGAGTTGCAGAGGGGTTTAAGATTTTGGGCTGCCTTGCTATTTTCTGGCTTCGCGTTCGTGGTCGTGCCTCCTCTTCATGGAGGGTGTCAGTTTGCTTCATGTATGGATTGGAGGGGTTTAAAGTGGCTAATGATGCAGCTGTGGTCTGGCTTCTGGTTTGTAATCGTGCCTCGTCATCGGTGTGGCTTTGGGTTTGTTTTTTGCGTGGATGTGTGGTGGTGACAACCTGTGTGGTTTTTGTGAGTGTGGGTCTGGTATCATTTTTTGTGTTAGGGAGTCGTTTGTCAATAAGGGCGGGTTTCCAAATGGCTGGTAGGCGGGAGATATCATCTCGCTTGTTCATGCTGTGTGGGCATTTTTCTATCTCGATGGCTTCTCTGATTATTCTGTTATTAAAATGTTCACTTTTGGCAATGGTTCTGGTATTTTTAAAGTAAAATATATATATTTTCTCCCTCTCTGGCAAGGTCATTCTCACATTCCATTACAGTTCCTCACTGAAAAACAACTCTGGGTCTCAGCCTCCCTTACTTGATTAAAATGGGGAACCAAAAGCCATATTTATAGATGAAAAACAAATTTTGATTTGCACAGGCATATTAGGCGCATAAAATGCAGCAGAAAAAACATACTGCTGCATTTTATAGCAGTTGCAGTTTCCATGTTGTCTTCAAAGCAGTCTCATATAATGTGCATTATAAAATCTACCAGTAGTTGAGTAGTATTAAGGACATACGTCATTACTAAATGATCCTTCCCCTTCAGAAAGAATTACAATTGGCACACCTCAGGGTTTTCCTGATCAAGAAGACTCCTAAGTTATGGCCATCTTTCAAGAAAATACTGAAAGCCATGATGATCAAACAACAATTCGATCTTACTAAAGTTCAACTTTAGTCTATTTTGTCCCATCCAGACTGCAATATCCTCAAAAACTGAAACATTTGACAGTATTGGTAAACAAGCAACATTTGGTCCTATTGTGGAAAAACATAAATAGCCAACAGAGTCATACTTTAGGCTTGCTCACAATATCTTTCTTCCCTCAGTGGCCATGCCATCTGGCGACAAGCATGTATGTTATTATAAAAAAATATGGTCTGAATTCCTTCCTTCCTTCCTTTTCCTTCCTTCCTTCCTTCCTTCCTTCCTTCCTTCCTTCCTTCCTTCCTTCCTTCCTTCCTTCCTTCCTTCCTTCCTTCCTTCCTTCTTTCCTCATGCCTGTTCCATGAAGGATAAACAAACTTCAGACATATGTCTTTGCTTTTTTAATGCAAGTTGTGCCAAATGAAGAAATGAAATATACTTCTAATGGAAGAATTCTGAACATAATAATTTGTTCTGCATATCAAGAATGAGCTGTGTTTTTTCAACACAAAGCTTTCCCAATATAATTTGAAAGAAATGTCAATTTGTTGTCCTATAAATTAAAATCAGATATCATTCTGATTTACTATCTGTCACTCATCCATTATTTGATCCTCATTTGCCTATATTACCTTATAAATATTTTTTTTCATAGTAGCTAGGAAACTTTATAAAAATAATCTAATGTAAAATTGAATTTCAGCCTCATAATGAGTTTGAAGGAATGCATCATTAATTATATACAGTATTACCAAATTAGACCACTAATAGTTTTGTGTCATCTCATTTATCAGTATCTGTAAGATTAGGGGTACCTAAAACACATTTTATTTCTGAAATAATTTATCCTTCCCTTCCTCTCTTTCTTTTTCTGTTGTATTATGTTTGTTCTAAGATAAATTTCAGAGCTGTTTTATCGCAGACACTCTTGTTTGTATTCAACAAAAATTTGAATATAAATCCCATTCAAACCATTCATTTGCATACCATTCTATTCAAACAGAAACTAGAAATAAATAAAAAAAGTTGATGTGAGGTGTCTTGGTTTAAACTGCAGGCAGAAATACAGAATTTGTGGAAAGAAAATCTTGCTATTCTAAACACTGCAAAGCACTATGGCTATGAAGTGGTTGATACTTTCATTATTACGATGGGACGGTACAAGGAATTTTTGCAAGGGAAATGTGGATGTCATTTCCATGAGGTAAGAATTTAGGGTTAGTGCTTCAGCATGAGTATTTATATGCTTTAAACTTTGTCCTACATTAATGAAAACATCTGAAATATAGCTGTATTTTGGCAATCAACCATAAGCATTTTACAGACAGACCAATTATAGATAAATATAATTGAACATGGTGCAGCCTGATTCTTAGTAAACATGCACAGCAATGTAGAATGAACTGAGAAGGAAGAAAAACAGCTTATTCTGTGTAGATGTGAGCAGAGCACTGAAAGTCTAGCTAATCCAGATGCCCTCTGCTGGAGGAGGAGGAGGGGGAGCAGAAGAGGAGAAGACAAAGAGGAAGCAGCTAGTCTTTTGTTCCTTCAGAACAACAGAATAACAGAGTTGGAAGGGATCTTGAAGGTCTTCTAGATCAGTGATGGTGAACCTTTTAGAGACTGAATCCCCAAACTGCAGCCCCAAACCCACGTATGTATCGTTGGGTGTCAGGTGGGCGTGGCCCATTGAGTGGGTGTGGGTGTGGTGGGTGTGGCCAGTGTGGGCGTGGCCACCTCAATGTTGCTCGTGGGGAGGGACGCCTGTGGGGGCCAGGCAGGGTTGGGAGAGATCCAGGAGATCTCTGGCGGGTGGACGGTGGGCAGGAGGCTCATCCTACGGGGTGAGGTGAGGCGAGGCAGAGGGCAGGGCAGGAGTGCCATTGTCGCAGGAAAAGCAAGGTGAGGCAGGGGCCAAGGTGGCTGCTGCCTGACACCATCGGCCACCACACACAGCGACCACATGGGGGCCAACTGTGTCCATCAGCAGCCACAGCCTGCCAGCCCCTTGGTTTTGGTGCAATGTGGCTGTTTGCCTCTGGCCACGGCCTTTTGCCGCCTCATGTGTCACACCCAATGTGGCTGCCATGAGGCTGCGGAACAAGCCAGGCGGAGGTAAGGAACTGGTATACCGGTTTCTTACCACCGCCCAACTTGTTCTACGGCCTCATGGCAACAGCACCGGGCAGGAGGCGGCAAATGGGCGGAGGTAAAGAACCGGTATACCAGAATGATTTTGAATATAATGCTGCAAATTCTAGACCTGGCTAAATAAACATGACACACAAATGTCTCAGATGGCTATGTTTATATATGTAAAGGGAAAAAAACTCCTTGTGTCTTACATGATGCCACTGTACCTATATATTATATCCATGCACAACAGGATTCTAAATGCTAAGAAAATGTGTGATTTCTGAAGAATATTATTTAAATGACTTTAAATAAATCATCTACATTCAGCAAGAAAAAAACATATTTGGCCCATCCATTACCATTCTATCCACTGCAAAAGTAAAGAAGCCGCTAAGTTTATCCACAGAGTTAGTTCTGAAAAAGTATATATTTTTCAAGCATGGTGATATTGACTCTTCAATATTCCACCATACAACCAGGGCAGGAAATATCATTATTTAGGCTAATATTAATTTCTATGCTTGTGTACCTATAGATAATCCTTAATTTATTACCATAATTGAGCCTGCTCATCTCATTTAAAAGTCCTGATGGTTCATAATGTAATTAATCGGATTTGACTCCCTTTTTTGTGGTGCTCATTAAATGAACATTGTAGTCATTAAATAAATCATTGGTTTGTTATAAAGCCGTTTTTATCAAAAATCACAATTAAATGCCAAACTTCAACAAAACTGTCACAAAATGCAGTCTTGTGACCATAAATGCAGCCCAGTTGCCAAATGCATGAAATAGCATCACGTGACTGGGCGGGCAACCGTCAGAACTTCAAATCTGGGTCATAAATACCCCCCAGGTAGGTCCATCACAACTTCAAACAGTGATTGGATTACCTGTATTTACATTGTTGGGTAGACAGAACTCAGCTGCAAAGAAGAAAAGGATAAGAACTAATGTTACCACTTTTCAATATGGCATTGTAAGACTTTTAAATGATTGCAGAATAAAACAACAGTAGTTGTTAGTAACTGCATATACAGTTTGAACTGAGAATTTGTTGCATGAGCTTGAAGCACTGGCATGAATGCCTTGCAAACCATGCTTCCATCTTTTTCAGGTGGTGAAATCAAAGGCATCTGAAAAAAGCTTTCCCACAGCAACAGCTTTCTCAAGACTCCATGTTCTGGGCAAATATTTCAATAACCAAAGCAACCTTGCAAAACTACAAGCTTCTGTATCCAATTCTCAATCTCCTTATCATGTGAGAGGCCCAATCAATCAAGTTTGTTCTGAAATACTCCTCAGCAGGATCTGTGGGAACAACAGAAAGGATGCCAGCATGTAATTTTGAATGGTAGGCATGTAGAGCTCAAAGACTCCCCACTTTCCCATGGAGTGGCCCTCTGATCTTCTCAGATTTAGTACACATTTCCTTGAAAGGCGGAACAAATTAGCATAATTCAAGACATGTGGGCATTTCATCAAAGCCTTAGGAAATCAAGATGGATCTTCATAGAACTGTGGTTTCAGAGGGAGAAACAGAAGCACAAGTGGCAAAAGCAAGAAGGAAGAATTACTTGAAATAGCGCCCAACAAATCAGATGTAAGCTACGTTTATGCAATATTGTATGATAGAATGTACTGTAATACACTATCTCATTCCATGTTTAAAGGTTTTATGATTATAAATGAAAAAAAGCAATAGAGGAAAATGTACTTTTAACATTTGCATTGACAAAATGATGGTATCAGTTGTAAGACTGCAACAAAAAAAAATCTCACAAAAGGTTTTTGTCCAAATTAATTATGTGCCATCAAGTCAGTGTCGACTCCTAGTGACCACACAGATAAATCTTTTTCCATGATGAACTGTCCATAACTTGGTCTTTTAGTTCTTCCAACAATGCATATATCAACTCTGTAACTGAATGTATCCACCTCAATGCTAGTTGTCCTCTTCTCTTTCCTTCCACCCTTCCCAGCATTACAACCTTCTGTAGATCACATGAAATGACGTGTCCAAAGCAGGATAATTTGAGCTGGATCTAGTGAGTATTTTGGGTTGATCTTGTTCAAATTAACCTAACATAGTTAAAATGCTAGGTAACTTCCCGTTGTTGCTCTATTGCACTGATTGAGGTTACACAAGTACCACGTGGTTGCATGAAGAAGTTTTGTTCCTTATTCTTTGTCTTCTGTTGTTAAGATGATGCAGGTTTCAGAATGTTTGTCTGCCAACAGAAGCAGACTTTAAAGAAAATTGCCCATATAAATATCTTTGTTTTATATGGGCAATCTTCTTTAAACATTGCCCATATACATATATTTTTATATTTATATTTACATTCTATATCTTTATTGCTCTTACATTTTCCTTCTTCCTCCTCCAGTAGTGGAACTGATTTGAGAACTTCTAAACAAAATTATTGTACTGTTTAGCAAAACCATTTAAGTATAGGGAAAGAAACTTCAACTTGTACCTTGGATCAAGGTAATATAGGAGCCAGTTTGGTGTAGTGATTAAGGAAGGGGTATCAAGCCTGATTGCATTGCGGGCCATATCATGACACATCAGGATGTTTTTGTGCCTTTGCGAGGCTGGAGTGGACATGGTCTGCACGGGCCACATCCAGCCTGCGGGCCACGTGTTTGACATGCCTTGATTTAAGGCATCATGAATCAAGGCAAATACAGTGTCCTAGGATAATGCTGCAGGAACCAATCTGGGCCAGTCACCAGGACCAAAGGTTTAATCTTCCGAGCTTTCGGATTCATGTTGAAACCCATCCTTGGGAAACTTCTCTCTGCCGGAATGTGTGCTTTGGGCTGTTCTATGCGTAGTATTTACATGGTGCCTGATTGGGTCTGGTTTCTTATTTGTTGATATGGGTATTGGTGGCTGGCTATTGTTTCCTTGTGCTGCCAAGTCCTCAGCTCCTAAGTACTTGATAAACTGGTGGTAAATCAGCATTCTGGTTGACTGACAAGGAGCCCTTTTCTCAGGCTTCAGTCATTTCCCTCATTATATTTGTATCTGCTCAGCCAAGGCATCCAGCTAGAAAAGGTATCAGGTTAGAAACCAGGAGACCATAAGTTGTAGTCCTACCTTAGGCACAAAGCCAGCTGGGTGACCTTGAGTCAGCCAGTTTCTCTCAACTCTAGGAAGTAGGCAATGGCAAGCAACTTCTGAAAAACCTTGCCAAGAAAACTGGATGGATCGTCCTGGGAGTCTCCAGGAATCAGACACAACTGAGCAGAAGAAGAAAAAAGTATGAAAGAGTCTGGTTTGCTTAAAAACCATGTAATGAGGTTGTAGTTGCACGGTTTTAATTGGTAGCAATTTTTTTGATTTACATTTTTTTATCAATAAGTATATACATTGTATTTTCTTTTGCTCTGCCAGAAATCACGCCCAAAGGCTAAAGGAGGTTACAGAAACTTAGATTTGCTCAGCTCAGTGGGATTCTATATGTGCCTGGTAGTCCAGTTTACCTTGTTCGGTGTATATTGCCAATAGAACCATAGCAACAGCAAAACAATCTCATTTTCTTGCAAGCGTTTTCTGCAAGGTATGGTAAAAGAGGTCACAATGGTAGCCGTGACAATAGGACACATATTAAAAGAAATGGGGAGAGCTTTGATCTCACCACCATGGATGCTTTCTTGACTTTTCTGTGATATCCTGCAGACACCATTAGTCCCTGCATTTGAACACAAAGTTTTGCCTTTGGCCATTTCACTGATAGGAGAACGCAGCACTTTCAAAATTTCTCCCTGAATATAAATATTTTTAGTAACCTTACAGAAATGATTATGCATGTATTTCAAATGAAAAATTACATACCAAGACTAAACTTGAAGTAACTTGTATTAGTGCCAAAGGTAAACCTGAAATAAAGATAAACCTGACTTACTGAAGAGTCTTAAAATAATTATATTTACTTATAACTTGAATATTCCTATGGATACAAATTCTGATTTTTTTAAAAAAAAACACATTGAGAGGTGATCCAGATTTCAGAGAACTTGATTACCTCCCAACAGCAAATCTTTAAAGAGGATTGCCTGTATAAATATCTTTATACTGAAAGTAATGTTAAAGTTGGACTCATACAGAAAGTCTTTTTTTAAAAAAAAAACTAAAATGAATTTTGGTTAGGTAATAAATTTCATGTTGGCAAATGTGCAGTGTGGTTTCTGCATGTTCACCATTATATGGTTATCCTATGCTGTACTTTGCTGTGTTTCATGTTTCCCAGATGTCGCTATTTTGAAAGCATCATTTCAGTGCTGTATTTTTATGGACAGATTTTATGTAAACTTATCACTGTAACATGCAAATCAACCTAATATGAATACAGACTATAGATGTTTAAAAGTGATATCTAAATTGTAATTAGGCAATAGTAAATATATATAAAATAAATATTGATACACTGTATGATACATTTCCTCAAGATGGGTATCTTTTTAATTAACATGTGACAATAGATCAGTGAAAACATCATACAGGTAGTCCTCAACTTACGACTGTAATTGAGCCCAAAATTTCTGTTGCTAAGTGAGACGTTTGTTGAATTAGTTTACGAGTCCCATTTATGATCTTTCTTGCCACATTCTTATGTGAATAATTGAAGATTCTAAGTTAGTCACCCGGTTATTAAGTGAATCTGGCTTTCCCATTGACTTTGCTTGTCAGAAAGTTGCAAAAGGTGATCACATGACCCCAGGACACTGCAACTGTCATAAATATGAGTCAGTTACCAAGCATCCGAATTTTGATCATGTGCAAGGGGAATGCTGCAATGGTCATAAGTGTGAAAAGTGTGAAGTCACTTTTTTCACTGTTGTAACTTCGAACAGTCACTGAATGAACTGTTGTAAGTTGAGGACTACCTGTATTCTCTTGTATATTGAGTTGTCTGTTTTCTTTAATATGCAGAGCATCTTGATGAAGAGATATATCCTAAACATGCTGTGAAACAATATGATCAAGCTGATTTTATTGGAGGGGGATAATGGACAGCATATACATTTATATTCATGTATCAGGATATTTTCAGAAGGCACCAAACTCTTCACTCAGTCTCATTCACTGATTATGAACATCTGTAAAGGGCACCTCAAGATTTTTGACTAATAATATTCATCCCCAGCATGTTGTATTGTCCTTCATTGGATTGTTTGTCTATGGCTTAGAGGTTATCCAGTTATTTGGCTCTGGTATCACTACTTTGCGTACTCTCCCTCCCCCGGTGTCATAATATGCTATTGAAAACATTAGAATATCATCAAAAATAAAATAAATTTGACAAATTTAGAGCATATAGAGAAGCATCTGTCCAAAGATCTCTGTGACAATTGTTATTAATTTAATGGTTCACCTTAGCTTTGATATAGATATTTATTCAAAGATCAGATAGTCTTTGAGTATTAAATCTAAAGATTATTAATAGTACAATTCTGTAACAATTTCTTGTTCTCATATAAAACTTTAAAAAAATAAACAATATACAGAAATTATTTTCAAGTATCTGATGCACTGAAATTAGTATATCAAGAAGGCTTACTGACTACTAGAGAGATCAAACTGGCCTACAAGAAAGACCAAATGAAGAACAGAATAGAGGCATGGGAAGACAAAGCACAACATGGCCAATACATTAAAAAAATAGCTGGGAAAGCAGATAATAATAAGACCTGGCAATGGCTAAGAGCAGGAAAATTGAAGAAAGAGACCGAGGGACTAATTCTGGCTGCACAAGACCAAGCCTTAAGGACAAATGCATACAAAGTCAAAATTGAGAAGACAGCAACAGACAGTAAGTGCCGCCTATGCAAAGAAGCTGAAGAAACAGTGGACCACTTGGTAAGCTGTTGCAAGAAGATTGCACAAACTGATTACAAGCAGCGGCATGACAAAGTAGCAACAATGGTGCATTGGAAGATCTGCAAAAAATATCATTTGCCTGTAAGCAAAAACTGGTGGGATCATAAAATAGAGAAAGTCATAGAAAATGATAAAATTAAACTGCTCTGGGACTTCAGAATTCAAACAGACAAGCACCTGCAACATAACACCCCAGACTTAACAATTGTCGATAAGAAAGACAAAAAAGTCTGGATAGTGGACGTGGCAGTGCCTGGAGATAGCAGAATAGAAGAGAAAGAACTGGAGAAGATAACAAAATACAAAGACCTACAAATAGAAATAGAAAGACTGTGGCAAAAGCAAGCAAGGGTAGTACCAATAGTCATAGGCTCCTTGGGTGCAATCCCAAAACAACTGGAGCACCACTTGAACACCATTGGCATTGACAAATTCGCTATTAGTCAATTGCAAAAGGCGGCCTTATTAGGAACTGCTTCCATCCTGCGACGATATCTGTAATACCATCAAACATCCACATCTGCCTATCCCAGGTCCTGGGTAAGGACTCGATAGGTAGACAAAATGCCAAATCCAGTCTGAACATCTGGCTGACTGTGCGATGATCGATAATAATAATAATAATAATAATAATAATAATAATAATAATAATAATAATAATAATAATAATGAAGCTGGAAGGGATCTTGGAGGTGATCTAGTCCAACCCCCTGCTCAGATACCATTTCAGACAAATGGCTATCCAATCTCTTCTTAAAAACTTCCAACATTGGAGCATTCACAGCTTCTGGAAGCAGGTTGTTCCACTGATTAATTGTTCTAATGGTCAGGAAGTTTCTCCTTAGTTCTAGGTTGCTTCTCTTTTTGGCTAGTTTCCATCCACTGCTTCTTGTCCTGCCTTCAGCTGCTTTGGAGAATAGCTTGACTCCCTCTTCTTTGTGGCAACCCCTGAGATGTTGGAACACTGCTAACATGTCACCCCTAGTCATTCTCTTCATTAGATAAGACATACCTAATTCCAGCAACCATTCCTTGTATGTTTTAGCCTCCAGTCCCCTAATCATCTTTGTTGCTCTTCTCTGTACTCTTTCTAGAGTCTCAACATCTTTTTTATGTCATGGTAACCAAAACTGGATGCAGTATTCCAAGTGTCGCTTTACCAAGGCATTGTAAAATGGTATTAACACTTCATGTGATCTTGATTCTATCCCTCTGTTAATGCAGCCTAGCACTGTGTTGCTTTTTTTGGCAGCTGCAGCACACTGCTGGCTTGTATTTAAGTGATTGTCCACTAGGACTCCAAGATCCCTCTTATAGTTACTACTATTAATCAAGGTACCACTTATACTATACCTGTGCATTTGGTTTTTCTTGCCTAAATGTAGAACCTTAATTTTTTCACCATTGAATTTCATTTTTTTAGATAGCGCCCAGTGTTCAAGTCTGTCCAGATCCTTCTGTATCTTAAGCCTGTCTTCTGGAGTGTTGGCTATTCCTGCCAGCTTAGTGTCATCTGCAAATTTGATGAGTTCCCTATCTATCCCCTCATGCAAATCATTGAAGAAGATGTTGAAGAGCACTGGGCCCAGAATAGAGCCCTGGGGCACCCCACTACACACTTCCCTCCATGTTGATGCAGTTCCATTGAGGATCACACGCTGAGTACTGCCGGTCAGCCAGCTACGAATCCATTTGGTGGTGATGCTGTCTAACCCACATTTTTCTATGTTATCAAGTAATAGGTTGTGATCTACTTAATCAAATGTGTATGAGACTAAAAAATAGTAACACAACATTCGTACTATGAGTGGGTTCAAATACTTCATTATGGTTTTGTTTTAATCATATTTTATTTAACAAGTCAAAGTTCAAATATGTCAAAGCCATACCATGATTCACCATGCTGTTTCACACATTGGCTAAGCAAAAATTACATACATATCTCATGGAATAAGTCCATGACAGTATGAAAAAGGATTGATGAATTACCATTTGAGTCCTCAAATGGAAAATGGACAGCCTCATGTAAAATGCATTGCAATAATCCACTCATGATATGACAAGGGTACGGTTGAGGCACAACACAAAGCTATACAAAAGTCCTCCTAGCCATGTCACCTGTTCCTTAAACAGGAGGACCCCCAAATTCCACCCAGTTTTCATTTAAGATAGTGTTGTCCCATCCAGAAGAGCTGGATGGTCCCTAAAACCCAGAGGCACTCAGTTTTGCTAAGGCTGAAAGGAAATCTGTGTCTCCCATTCAAAACCCTTACACATTACAGACACCAAGACCGAACCTCTTGGTCAGATCAGGAAAGTTGAAAAACTGAGTATCACCAGCATACAGATGATAACTCCTTTCATGCTATCAGATTACCTCACCTAGCAGTTTCATGTAATGTTAACTTGAAAAGGAGCAAGTATTGAGCCCTAAGGGACCTGGCAAAGCAAATCTGCCAGGCTAGACTTCTCCCACCTTTTAAAATCCTATCCTCCATTCTAAAATAGGAGGAACATATATCGGGACTCCTTAAATTGGATAACAACAACAACAACAAGAACAGTTGGAAGTGACCTTGGAGGTCATCTAGTCCAACCCCCTGCTCGGGCAGGAAACCTGTATCATTTCAGACAAATGGTTGTCCAGTCTCTTCTTAAAAACTTCCAGTGTTGGAGCATTCACAACTTCTAGAGGCAGGTTGTCCCACTGATTAATTGTTTTAACTGTCAGGAAATTTCTCCTTAGTTCTAGGTTGCTTCTCTCTGATTAGTTTCATCTGTTGCTTCTTGTTCTGCCTTCAGGTGCTTTGGAGAATAGCTTGACTCCCTCCCTTGTGGCAACCTTTGAGATATTGGAACACTGCTATTATGTCGTCCCTAGTCCTTCTCTTCATTAAACCAGACGTACCCAATTCCAGCAACCGTTCCTTATATGTTTTAGCCTCCAGTCACCTAATCATCTTTGTTGCTCTTCTTTGTACTCGTTCTAGAGTCTCAGCATCTTTTTTACATCATGGTGACCAAAACTGGATGCAGTATTCCAAGTGTGGCCTTACCAAGGCAATATAAAGTGGTATTAACACTTCATGTCATCTTGATTCTATCCATCTGTTAATGCAGCCTAGAACTGAGTTGGCTTTTTTGGCAGCTGCAACACACTGCTGGCTCATATTTAAGTGATTGTCCACTAGGACTCTGAGGTCCCTCTCACAGTTAACTACTATTGAGCAAGGTACCACCTACTATACCTGTGCATTTGGTTTTTCTTGCCTAAACATAGAACCTTACTTTTTTCACCATTGAATTTAATTTTGTTAAATAACACCCAATGTTCAAGTTTGTCATTTAACTTTGTACAATTGAAAAAGGGCTAGGATTACATAATGAGCTCAAATGCTGCTTCAAAAAATGTATTTCCTTGCTTGAGTCAGGTACATGAAGCTCCACCTTCACCTATTACATATGAGTAATTCTGGTATGTAAACTACACTCTACTCTTGATTTGTTATTATTGTTTAAATGTGTACACCAGTGTTTCTCAAACTTGGTAACTCTA